TAAATTATCCTAAAATATGCTACGAGTATAGTTTTTATAGATATTAGGGAATTAGGTAGTTTGTTTGCTTGAATTTTACTCCCGTTTACTTGAGTCACACACGTAACATTCGCATCAGCTTTGAGACCAATCGGACACGACCTGCAAATCGCCCGCCTCGCACTCAGCACCTGGTTACATCCTCCCTAGTTAGCCCTCCTCTGGTGCCTCGCTTTTAGCTTTTCCACTTTAGCGACCGTCCAATAAATATTTACTAGCTTCTTTTCGTGTGTTTTCTCGTGCGCTGCTGTTTAGTTGTTTAGCCGCAAATCAGATAGCGCACGATCGACGCGCTATGCTATTTCAAACGATATATAATGTATAGGCTCTGGACAGAAGCTTGCCATCAGCCAAGCTGTGATTTTCACCGTTCTGTCAGTTTAGAACATCTCCAGGTGAGCCTATTCCCCCGAGTAAGCAGTGTGTTCAAAATCACCAACTTCGGCTCTATCCGTGTGAAGCGGGCAGAGTATCAGGCAGAACTGTTTTGCTCTATTTTATTCCTGATTTTAGGTGACACGCAACCAGCGAGCCACACTTTAGTCAATATGTCCTTTTCGCATTTTTCCTCAACTAACATACTCACTAACATTGCCGTGCGGCCGCACTCTAACCGAGCTCTTAATCCGGATATAAAATTCCAAAGCTCGTAAGCAATACTTGCTGGTTCAAACCGTGTCAATGAGCCCTAGTCATTGTCCACCAACCATTGGATCTAAATTGTGCGGATCATATGCTTGTTACAATTTACAATATTTGAAAATTCTTTACTGTGACTTACGCGTGCAGCCGCCATACTTTCCAGGTATACACCCAAACTTTTACGCGCAGTCGAACCGACACTCCCAGAGCACTTGTTAGGTCCGTTTGCCACCTCAAAACATGTACAATTGCACTTGGCATTTAGCTACATGGCAAGGCTTAATCACACGTCACGTGACAAACATGTGCTATACACGCCAGGGACAACAAAGCATTTTGCCCTCCATACATTGCCCGCCCGGGAATGCAATTTAGCTCGCATTCACTGATAAACCTGTGGCATCAAAAAGCAAGACACAACCTCACTGGAACCGCCGGACAACGGAGATACACGCTTCCGCTCACGTGTCAAGCCTCGACATAGACATCGTCAACATGCTGTGTTGACACTGGCGTGTAGAGCACGTGTATATTACGTGGCGTGCGATTAGGCTTTGCCATGTAGGTAAATGAAAAATACAAGTCCTTAACATTTGTGTTTTGAGTGACAAACGGACCTATCACACGATTATGTACCATATACCCAGCAGCAGCAGTTGCAGCTACGTTTTTAACCGACAGCGGGTTGTTAGTCTCCAAGTCTGTTCGGACCGTCGAAACCAAAATCAGTTGGTCAGACTACCGATGTCGCCTGGAAGAAATTGGTTACACTGTTCACCGGGCTAGTGGCAACTGAGTCCGAAACCAAAGTCTTTCGCCCGAAGCAAATGTGGTCTTTCCTGATGAACCGGATACCAAAATGCATGGCCTTAAGAAATTCGGCCTGTCTTCCTTACAAAGCCTGGCCGGATGCGCAGGCCTGGGATGCCTAATAACAACGAAACTATTGTCAACTTGGTCCGCGAAGACAAACTCAAACACAAACAGGGCATAATGACAAAATTCATTACTATTCCCAACGTACTCTACAGGTACGTCAACGAGCTCCGTCGAATGTAGCGCGGAATCCAAGTTCTAAGTGCACTCCTCTGGTGCTCAATATCCAAGATGCGACCAACGCGCTTCGTCAACAGTTTACCCGCACTTTCCAAAACGATTCGTCACCTTAGCAGTTCTTGACACAGCCCATTCCACCCCCAGCGTCTAGCCACGTATCATTCACTGCAGTAAATGGGGGGAAAAGACGATAGACTTCTGCATTTGAACCACTGTCCTAGTGTAGACACTATCAGACCGAATAATCGCCATGAAACTCGCTCAGCCGTTAGCTCGGTTCTTTCAACGATGTCCTGAGGAAATACAGGTTCCGACCATGTGGAAACAAGGAAGTCACTTCTATTCACAAGAGTAGGAATCGTGCGTAGCCATTGACTACAGTCCAAGCACACTCCTCCCAGTGTTGTCTAAAGTTAAGGATAGTACAGTCGCAGAGGCGCTCATGCAATACCTTAAGAGCAACAAAATCATGGGTTACAGCAGCATGGATTTCAGCGAAATCGGTACTGCACCGTAAACTTGTTGCTAGCCAGAGCAAGCTGGACGGCGTCAGTCGATGCAAGACAAGGAGTCGAGCTCGTATGCTTGGGCTTCTCTAAAGCGTTTGATCGCCTGGACCACCGCATACTTTTTCGCAAACTTCGAAAATATGGAATTGGTGACTTTGTGCTAGGTTGGATAAGCATCTTCCACACTTAACATCAGTTGAACGTGAAGTACGCAGATCCATCTACGACCCAATTAAGTCCATCGGAGTGTATTCCGTGGATCGGCACCGGGACCACGTTCTTTCCTAGCATTAAGCACTATCTAACTGGTTAGCTTTAGCCCAATTTCGTACCAGACGCAGAATATGTCAAGACATGGCAAGATAACAACACAGTGGGCAACCACGCGGCACTGAAGAAGCGATCTCAACGGAGTGTATACAAGCTCTTCCGAAAACCGACTCCAGGCTAACTTGACAAAATGGGGACTTCTAAGCATACGACATCCGTGTAGGCTTGAATAACGGCCGGCACAACAGCAATGACAACATGCCACACAGGAAAGGAACGTCAGAGTAATTACGCAAGACGACTTTGGCTGCTCGAAACAGGATGTAAAGGCATCGAGAAGAGCCAGTCAGCAACTTAGGCCTCTTACGTAGGGTGTCTTGGAAGTTCGTCATCAATCATTCCACAAATACTGAACAACTACGTAAGGTCTCACGTGAAATACGCGATCCAATCCTGGTGACATTGGTGCAAGCATGATACTGACGCGCTGGAAGCTCCACGACCTAGTGTAGTGGCGCGGAAATCCAGTATTGCGGGCAAGGCGAAAAAGCTACGGAAAAAAGCGAGACTATGAAACCAGGGACGAAAGGCGACGAAGCAGCTCGAGGGCTAGGGAACGAGCAGGGAATGGTTCACGAGTTACAAAGGATAACGGACTTACGCCGAGAAGAGCGGGGAAGGTAGTCTTGGAGAGCCCGGTTTTTCGGAGCGATAAGCCTTTGATCACGACCCCAGGAATAAACCCAAGGTGCGCGACACAATCCCGATTGCGCAAACCAAGAGCTATCCAACGAACTGTAGCTGACCAAAACTGGCCCGGATAGAAGCGGAGATATGGGGTGAAACGTGAAGGGTTATGCGATGGCGTAAATTGCGTAGTCGCATAGACATGTCGCAAGCGAAATCAGGAACAGGTGGTGAGTCGTGGGATGGAAACACGACCTATATCTGTGTGCCTGTGTGAGTGAATTAACTGTCTGCTTTCGCAACTATAAAGATTGTGCTACATTGTCTCATTGTTCTGTCATAGTAGGGGATAGCTTCACCTCCCCCACCAACACGGACTGCAAGTCTTATGCTTGTACAGCGGGGAATATGGGCGCCTGCGATACCTTAGCAATTTGTACGAACTACTGACTAACCCTAAGCACGCTTGTCGCAGCTTATTACAAGTCAGTCACAATGCAAATCTGCGAGGCCACCAGCTCAAACGTCGCGCACTAGCCGACTTGATTGCCAACGAAATGTTTTCCCCCTCAGGTATCCATAACCTGGAACGCCTTTTCTCCTCACGTACTTTTCGCATTACGTTAACTCTTTTCAAAGTAATTGGACTACACTCTATTCCATGTGAATTACATGAATAGTCCGATTCCATCGGAAGACGAAATACCACAAAGTAAACAGTACGATCACCAGCCCTCTCCGTTACGTGGCGATGGAGAGACCAGCATATGTGTTCATGTGATTAACTCGGTGAGTCACCTTAAGCCCAAATTTTCCCATTTTTGCTGAAATTTTGAGCGCTTATTATATAGTCCTCAATCTGGTCACCCCACTGGAATTGTCAAGCAATCACGTTTTGTCCATCTTAAATCATTGTTCATTGTTAAGGCTTTGATTTCAATGAACTTCGGGCCTCCATGCTGGACTCTAAAAGGCATTGGTCAGCGCAGTTATAAGCGATCCCCCAATATAGATTGCATCGTTGTGTTAGTAAGCAGCGTGATGGTACGAGATTTCCGCAGTTCGACGACAAACGCATTGTTAACCATGCGTATTAGCTGCTTTATTCGCGCCTTCCTATGGTTTAAACATGTATATTGCATTTTTTGAGGTTGGTAAACACTTGAATGAGGAATCTTTCATTTGAGTGAAAACCTTTTGCATCCATGGTAAATCTTAATTTGTCCTTGTCGATATCTAGATAGACGGGACACAAAGAAATCTTACAGCGGTGACGTCGACACCAACAACAGCCGTAGTGGTTTGTATAGTGAATAGCGGTTATACTTTTGTAGCGATTTGATGTTGTTGAAAATGGCAAATTTTAGGACGTCTGGTATTTGGTAAGTCACGTTAATTAGCCACTAGTTATTTGCTATCCTGAGCGGCTGAAAAGTTAAAGTCTCGTAGCGAAAGGAGCTTCAAACGAAAAAATTTAAGCCTTGTCTTCTCAAAAGAGTAAGACGAACTTAGAGAATAACCCTATCCTTCTCTGTCGATGGCGTAACACGCGGTAGGAAATCTGATCAGTTTCTTTTCTGTACCTAGTTCAGCTGTCGATTTAGCTGACCATTCGCAATACCAAGCATGTGCATCATCGTGTCTTACGATGGAATGCGTTGATTGAGTCTTTCCAATGTATACCCCGCGCTGATTGGCTGGTTACGGATTGCTCCAGTTTGTCACTGGTTGGCTGTCTGTCATGGCCACCAAATTCAGGAACAAATATAACGGTCCTTCCCGCTGCGGGTTCATGATTGCCGTGTCAGCTGATTCGGTGAGTGCAACATCTTACCTGCTGCTGTTCTTCAATTTAATGACTATTGTCGGGTGTGTATGAGAAAATATGGAAACGTAGAATGTCTTCAACTTGGGTAGCTGGAAATGACGTTTCTACGACTGATAGCGATTTGTAGTCAAGCGGCAAACGCAGATTTTAGTCATAGTAGGCCATCGTTTCGAATGTTGCATTTTGTTAATGTCAAGCTATCCTTTGCTGATGCACTCCACGATAAGTGAAATCAAGAGAATAGTCTTGTAATGAGACGAATGATGTTGCAACTACGTATTGCTCTGCAGATGAACTGTAGACTGAAAGCTTACTTCTATATTTTCTGAGAGCACTCATTCCATCAACATTTAATTGAGCTCAAAAAAGATGACGTTTCTGCACTTATGGTACAGGTTTGCTGCCAAACCTTTCTGCAACAATGGTCAATAAATTCCGATTGGAATTCACTTCAGACTGAGAATTAGGAAAGCATGTATTCCCTACAGGATAAATGTTTACCTCAGCTACACAATATCTGCAGTGAGCATTTGTGTTAAAACTACCAATCTGTATGTGGATTATGTGAAACCCGTATGGTCGGCAATCAACCATTTAATCGAAATTTAAAACAGAAAATGTCTTTCCACATCTCAGCAAAAAGCAGACGTAAACTGTACGGTGACATAGTCATTTCGTGCAAGCTCGTAATTACAAATCATGAAAAATTATAGATATATAAGCAAAAGCAAAACTAGAAAGAGGAAGTTTTGTGCTCAAGGTCCACGTTGAGTAAATGCTGAGATTCGCTGGTTTCAAGCTAACTCTGAATGCGATAACTGGTAATCATTCTAGTCAACGAGACAACGCTACTCTTCGGCAGTTAGCGTGAGCCACAAAGACAGCGAAGTGATAAATCTCTTATCGGAATTTGTGTCCATTTCGTCACCCAGACAGAATTACAAGTCCATACACGACCGAACACAAGCTTATCGCTCGTTTGTCATTCTTTGTCTAGCGTGATTTTAGCTAGACCCTAACAAAGTCTTCCGAATATTAACAAACCAGTTTAAGTCACGATCGTATCGTTTTATTCATTTATTAATCCACCTTTTTCGAATTACATTCATATCATGCTACATCGCAAAAAGCGTGTGTTACAGTCGAATATTCAACCATCGTGCCTGCATGAAATACCTTGGATTGACTTTAAGCTTTGACACCGAAACCGTTTTCCATGTCTCCTTTAAGGTTAGTTCAGTTACCCCTGCCGATTCGCTGACAACCCGTGAATCAAATCCTCGTCGGAAGGCAGGAAACACGTACTTTTGAAAGGGAAAATCAAGCAACTAGGTACCGTGTGCCAGAGGGACAGAGTTAAGTGGGCTGCAGTGTGATCTAATCTAAATCACTAGTAGAGCAGCCATGGAAAAGGTCTAAGTAGTGCCGCATAATTTACTCTCGGCTGGTATGATCACAAGTAACGTAGCTGGACTATACTTTGGGGTCACCTAAGAAGACCAGGTTGCTCCATGTGGAATCAGTAGCGGACTCACGTAGTACTCCTCATCGCCGAAATCACAGTTACAGTCGGATTTGAGCAAGCTGTGCAGGATGTGAAGGACTAGCTGACTACTTTGTGAGGAAAATATAGAGCCGGTGGTATAGATGTCACAGCATCGGCTATTAGAACCAGTGAAAGTAACGTTCTTAGGGGTGATAAGGCATCGTTTTTTATAACCTTAGACCAATAAGTACCAAACTAACTGGAAACTTGCCTGCTTTGCGTGCCGATCTCTTAGACACGTGATCCGGTAGCGGGCGTTTTGTTTTTACGAATTATGAGAATCTGCCCAGTTCACCCCCGAGTGAACAACGTTTTAACTTAAAATCCGTCCCGTGGCTACGACTTAGCGCTCTGTTTACTGCAGTGGTACTACTGAGAGGGTATTTGATGACGCCAAGCCAGCTCATAGCACTTAACCTTTTATCTAGCGAATTTAACCAATGTGGTGTAAAGCACAAAGATCCTGTGGGCACGGAAGCTAGTCGATGGGCTAGGGAATCACGTAAGAGAACTGATTCCGGCGGCAACACAATACGACAGTGTTTACAACGCACGAACAGGCTCGGCGTGCAATCAGGAGTGTGTAACTAGCAAAAGTCGTTTCTAAACAAAACGAGTCATTAGAACATATGCGGAAAATCTCGGAAAAACGGTCAACGAGCAAGAAGTAGCCAGACAGACAAACGCGAACGACAAATAAAATGTCAAGTACTTGCAACTGTCTTACTTATCCGCTAAATGCTAGTGTGAACCAGGTATTTACATATGTAAGGCAAACATATACTTATATTGTGATCCAAGATGGAAAGGAATTTACAGACAGTTGTTAAAGGGCTGGATACTCATGGTGGAAGAAGAATAGACCGTATAATCAACCTATCCTAAAGCGCTTGAGTCTGCTAGTAGGTAGGACGCTAGAGGAACTCGTAGTGCAAATGATCAGCCACTTTAAACTCCAACTTGGCTGTTTAGGGAATGGGGCAAGAAGGAGATATACGTCTGCTGTATGAGCGAAAAGTCCTGCTAGCTGACAAGCACTGCAAAAGGTTCTAGTTGGAAGAGACAGGAGAGGTTCTTGGTGGAAATTGCCATGTTGATGAATGGTGTATAAGACCAACACGTATATGAATGTAAGATGAAGAGTCTGCCGGACCTTGATCGTTACGAAGCAGTGATCTTGGAAGATGGGTCAGCACTCTGGATCCGGGCGGCACCTTGGGAGTTAGCAGCATAAATGAGGTGGGGACGAATGGGAAGAAGAATGCAGCCGCATAGTTTATGTTCGAGAGCAAATATCTGCTAATGATATAGGGCAAATTCGACTAGAATCACGTGAAAAGATGAACAGCACACAGGGTATGACGACTCTATAGCGTATGTCTCACTATCTCATAGCAGTCAGAATGTAAAAATCAGATGGGAAAAGATCGGTGACGCATTATAAGAGAGAACAGTCCGATTCAAGAAGGAGTGCGAACAGGACAAGTTCGGTATGAGGGAGTCTACATGGATACGGAGCGCATAAAATCAAACGCTGAAGGGCCTATATAGGGAAGATGGATAGAATGCTGGCTCTAACAAGTTCCAGTTCAGTTGGAACCGAAACAGTAGGACAACCCGTGAATGTTCTTTCGCCTATCTTTGAACCGAGGATTGATAGGTCTGCTTGAGATATTGAAAAGCCTAAACCAAAGACCGCATCACACTCTGTCCAACCAATTACTGCCCACATTTTCATGCCCAGCAGTCCCTACCAGGCCGGTTTATATGAAGTAAGAAAGAGTGAAAGTTAAGCTAAGAAAACAAGAGGATAAATGTCAGCTAAATGATGATAGTACCAAGCTATGAACGTAATAGAGCAAAAATGAACAGAATGCTAAAGATACAAGTCGGTTAGGAGAAAGGGAAGGTTTGGCACTGCCACTTAAGAGTATCTAACTGACGCTCGAAACCCTCAACCGTAGCTTCCCTGCCAACTTGCTCCCGAAGCGAGTTTCAACCTTGAATAACTCGGGGCGACAAACGATTTTCCGTCCTAAAGCGGTCAGAACGCAGTTTGTGCCGCTTCAACGGGTGACCGCAGAGACTAGGCATCTTAGCGGGACTAAGTAGTCAGGACAAGTCTGGACCGATCTTACCTGTTAGGATATGGCAAGTGCGGACCAAGTCCCCTCTAATTCTCCGGTAGTGCATTGAGTACATCCCAAGCTAATCGACCTTTCTGGATGCATTTGCCCTTGTAAATCCTGCACTGTTTGTTCCCGCTCTCAGAACCATCTCCAGTTCCATTTTGTCCCTTATAAGACATGGTGAACAAGTCTTGATGCAGTGTCCTAAGTTAAGTCACACAAAAGCCTATGAAAACATCACAAACATATCGGCTGTTAGAATACCAAAGGAGCAGCGACAAAACTACATCCTACGGAACCCTCTACAAGTAGCCTTCTTAATTGTTCCTATGGCGAAGGGCAGGTGTGGACGACGCCTAGACCAACCTGTGTCGTGTTACCCTCCGTGAAGCAAGAAGACTGGGCCGCGATCAGGAAGTCGTTTATTAAGAGTACGCTCGAGTATTTACAGATTATATACACTAGTTACAACAGTCCGTTTCAATAGCTCATCCCTGTTATTTGCATTGTGTCGCTGGCCCCTTTTCCAGTGGTTTATGCTTGCTCGCCATATTCACTCTGTCTAAAATCATCCTGACTTTCTTACTGGATATACGATTGGCGGGATTGGACCCGCGCTTCTTCCCTCGGTCCAATGCCACAAGCCTTGGCTCAAGGGTGCACGATTATGCACTCCTTCACCTGCTGGCGCCTGATTGGTTACTTGCACGTTCAGTGAATGGTTGCAGGCTGGACGCGATCACGAGCCAACTATTTCCTGATTGGCTGACCAATCTGCTTCCGGCAGCATGCTCACTCCCTATCAATCTGGCCTGTGACGTTCGATCGGCGTTACAACATTTCCAATCACTAGCATTTCCAGCCTCCCTCATAACCTGCTGCGGGACGACAGGGATTTCGAATCCACCAACAACATAGCGCTTGGGGGACAAGCAACTCCAGCGCGTAGGACAGAACTTTTTGTTCTTTTATAGGCATCACCCATGAGCTTTACCAGTCCCAGAGCCTATCTAACGTAATTTGAATTGCTTCAGAACCCCAAGGAATATGCACAATACTCCAGAGCTTGAGGTCATCAACAAACAATAGCGGCGGTATATAAAGCTACTGGGGTAGGTCATTGACATAAATTGCGAAATGCAACGGCCCTAAAACCGAGCCATACGGAACGCCTCTAAGAACAGCTTGTGTAATCGAAAGGCTACGCCCCACGCGTGCACACTGTTTTCTCGATAGTAAAAAAGCAGCCACCTATTTAAGGCCGCCACCAGATATCCCGAAAGAGCTGAACTTTAGTGAGTCGTAGATGAAGG